TTTATTTATAGGTTGGGTTGTTAGTTTGGAATTAATGATATATATATTTTAGTTTGGTTTAATTTTATTATAAAACCTGTCCAAGGTTTTCCACTGGCACTAACTCTTTATCCCATTATAAATAAAATGATATTTGAAATAGTCCTTTTGAGTATAAATGAACAGATGTTAGTTTTATTTTAGCAAACAATTTATCTCCTGTTTTCTTTTCACAAATTTGAAGGTTTCTGTGTTGGCATTGGTGCAGGCTGTATTTTGAATAGTTAAAACTAACCCAGAGCTAGGTGAGACAAAAACAGATTTCTTCATTATCAGTCCTATTTTTTATGATTTATATAAATTAAGAAGTTATTGCATTTATTTTGAGTGTATCAAATTGTAGCAGCATATAATTAATCAATGGACTATATTTAAAAATCAATTAAACAATCTAGTTACCAATCTGACATGAATACTTGATCTTAACAGAGAATGATAAATTATTTCACATTTAAAAAGACGACCCTGATTTATTGTGAGTGCTGTGATTTATTTTCAGTCACAGATAAGAACATTTTATTCCAAGACTCTCAGGAAGTCTTGTGAACCGAGGGATGTTCTGAAATATTAACTTAATATAAAATATATATATTTCTACATATATATAATTGGATCTTAGCAAAACTTTTTATAAAAATACCTCTGCTTTTATTCAATTGGCTTTTCTTTTTTTTAAAGAGAGGTTACATGAAGGTTAGCAGCGTTCTCTTTTTATATCCATTCTTACCCAATTCCAAATCAGCTTAGTAATACTGAACTCTCCAGCCTAATGTTTACTGGGAAACTAGATGCACTTTCTCATTATTGGGCTTTATGCCAGCCGGCAGGATCGCAGTACAGCATTTAAGCCTCTCATTGTCTTCTTCCTTCTCTCTTTGAGAGTCAGACCGTTCGCTTTTTCATCTGTCCTGGAATTCTCCAAAAAAATGAGAGGAACAGTTGTCTGTCCAACTGACCACGGTGTTTGAAAGAAATTAGCCTTTTGGATCTCAGCAGGGACCATGCCTCAATAAGAGAGATAATAAATAAAAGTTACTTGTCTGCTTGAATCATGGGGGATCCTGGAGTTTATGCTCTTTTGGCTGAGTACACAGCCTGAGTGGGATCCAGTGTTAAGAGGGGCTGAGGTTAAACCATTTGTGGTTTGCATATTATGAAGCTGTAGAAAGAGTCCAGTCACAGGTCATACAGTTTAAACACCAGGCTGGATGGTACTTCGGTAATTGAAAACTACCTGACAAACAGCATTCTCATAGAGATCTCGTTACCACTATCAATGTCAGAAAGCATCCTATCAGGGAAAAGGGCTATGACCATAAATTTCCCTTGTTAGTAAACAAACTGTGTCAGATCCAGTTTAGTGGACGATTTGAATATGAATAATCTCAAAGAATATATTGAAAAGTTTTATAATGAAAGATATTGGGTTTATTGGCTTATATTTTTGAAAAAAATAAATTATCATTCAGATAAAAATTAAATTAGGAAGTAAAATATCAGTTTAAACAGAAGCACCAGCTTCTTTTTACAAGCAACAAGGTCCTTACCACATCCTAATGTAGTTCAAATAGTGTTGAGTTTGTCAGCCAGATACACATCAACATTATGATTTTTTTTTTCTTAACCAAAACAGGATTTGTAAGTTGCACAAGTAACAGATATATGCCCTATAGAGATACATGTTTTCAGACAGCTTTTAATTAAAACAAAAGAATAAACAGTTGTCTCATTTGATCTAAATATGTTTATTCTAAATGATATCTCGTTAAAATGGAGCCTAGGCGGAAGTTCAACTGAAAAAACTCAATCAGCTTTGAACCACACCTCCACAAAAGCCAATCGGCATCCAAAGCTCATCTTAAAAGGCCTGCGATGCGCACCTGTCTGCTCCTGTGCGCGGGTGGCATATGTTCTGTTACTTCATTCAGATGACACTGTTTCAACCCACCTGCAGCCCCTCCTCCACCTTGGTAGCTAAAGATTAATCAGAGTGTCATTCCTCCCGGACTCTACTGCGTTCCCTGTCTCATCTTAACCGGTCCGGCAGAAGACCGCCATGTTGAGCCTGGTTCTGCCAGATGTTTCTTCCCAATGTGGATATTTTCCTCTCCACTGTCACTTCATGCTTGCTCATCATGGACAGGTTTTTTAACCTGTGTTATCCAACTGGACTTCCATCTTCCAGGTCCTTGAGTGAAGGTCTAGTATCAGCTCACGCAGTCCACTGGACCTCTGCATAAAGCTCAGCAGACCATCTCACTAACCAGCAGTCTACAGACTGACCAACTTCATCTATCTCCACTCCACCACCACTTTCAGGCCTATTCTTTGCTCCTGTTCATGCATATCTATCAAAATTAAGTGCTATGTTTGCTGCCGAGGTCTGAGCGCCAAATACAAAGTAATTGCATCAATAAATTTCTCCTAATTGTCTTTTTTCTTTGTGTGAGTTTTTCAGATTGAATTGAAAATCAGTGCTTGTGAGCATGAAGTTAAAAGTGCAGCTAACAAACAAATTAATCCAATAAAAAAAAAAAAAAAAAAACCTGAATGTTTATGGTAATAATATACTTGCTGCACAGAGTAATCTTCCTTAAAACCAAAGTATCATGACAACCTTTGCACAAGGGTTTTGTATTTTTCATATAATCGAATGCTCTTATTTTCCAGAGTATTGTTGCAGGGCTTTATTGCTAGATAGAAAAATGCTTACGTGCAATGGTCTGCATCTAGCTGCAACTCTAACTTCCCTTCTGTGTGGCAGCAGGCCCACTTTAAATATATTACTGCCACCTAAAGCTCTTGAGTGAAAAATTATGTCCCTCTATACTCAACAATTAAGTGCCTCTGATATGAAAATTGCAATTTTAAAAATTGCTGTTATCTTACAAATGCAATTGTCAGTTTATAGACCAGTCCAATTCATAACAGTTCAGTCATGAAGACTGTTTCATAGACAGTGCTGTCCAGTTTAATGTTAGTTAAAATACAAAACATTCAAATTCAGCAAATCATAAAATCCTTCGGTGTATCCGTCAGTAAAAGTTCTTTAAAGAATCCGACCTTATGGCATTAGGCCATTGCTTTGCAGTAATTCCTAATTCTGAGAAATAGTATAATAACAAAGAAAAGGTACAACTTCCCTAAACAGGTATTAAAGTAATAATTACTGGATTTTGGCTGTAAAAACTAAATCATAAATCATACTACATGGTTTTATGAAGTACAGCACATTTAAAAGTATTGATAAATAAAATCTGAGCAATAACTTTTGTTGACATTGTGGACAGAGTGTTTTCCTGAGCTCATCTGAGATGGACTGATAAGCAGAAGGCAGATGGTATTTGGTAAAAGGAATTTTTTACCCAAACTTAAATGCAATTAGTTGCAACTTGGTGTGTGATTCCAGTTGTTATAAATGCAAGATATGAAAGGCAATGTTTGTCCTACTTTGATTATGTATCAGATCAGGGAATATTTCCATATGCATAGAGGAAATCATCATTGATGCAAAGGTGCAAATAGGAATCTTGAAGTGACTCAACAAAGCAATATCTCTTACAGACAGGCCTAATTTAAAGCACAAATATTTGTGTTGTCATTCTGCATGACTTAAACCATTGAAGCTTTACAGATATTAGGTTAGTCCCCAAACAGTATGCAGAGAAATTTATTTATCTTAATATTGTAGATTCCAAATATCTGACTGAGCGATCACTGGAAGGCTTTTTCTGAACATGTGCATCTAATATATTAATATGGAGATGTATCCATAAATGACTTTTTTCCAAGTAAAAAATAAAACACGACCTTCCGTTTAAACATCCAACCTATATGTATTAGTTATTATTTATATGAAAATGTTCACAGTCAATTAAATACACATAGCTACTCGTATGTACTGTACATAAAACCACCTTGTGGTTCTTAAGTAAATATATATATTTCCTTTTTGTCAAGCCTTTTTTTAACATGTAATCATTCGTATTTTTACATATTCTTTCACTTACTCGTGTGCAGAAATATGAAAACAGTTTGCATAGACTTACGACTACTGGAACATTTAGCCCCCCCAGTGAAGTCTGACAAAGCACCAGAATTGAATAAAAGAGCATTTGTTGTCTTTGTAACCATAAATCATCCTTATGACTTATTTCTGTGATATAGTTATTAATGATAGATTACCCTTGCAAGTGTTGCTCAATACTTTCACACAGTACATAGTTTGAATATGACAAAATCAATACAGAGCAGAAAATTTAAAGTGGTTCATGGTTGGGAACATAAGGAACCCGTTTTTAATATACTGAAATATTTTTTACAAGTTTATTTCATATGTGGGGTACTCTGTTTAAATATTTAAGCTTATTTTATTGATAATAATAAAATATTAAGCTTTTCTCTCATATACTCAGTCTGTGTCAACACCAGCCTGCCTGTATCTATGTTTGAATTCTGTTTTTCTACTACAAATAGCATGGATTTCATTTCCTCTTTATTTATATATTTTAAGTTTGATTTTTAATTTAACTGCATTATTACATTACTAGTTCCTAGAAATGGTGTTTTTTTTAACTCTTGATAAAAACTCTGAAAAGAACATTTAAATATAATATCTTAACAGCTATGATTTTAATTATATTCAAATCCTTGAAGACATTTATGTTTTAACTTGACATTTACACTCAGTACGAAAAGACAATGTTCTTCTCATTGTCTGATATTAAATACGGAAAAATTTCTGTTATTGGAAAACCCAGTTTTGCAATATGATTTGTATTTACTAAATGCCAAAATTACAAGAGAATGTCTTTTTGTGAATTTTCTTTAATCAGTATTTATATTTTCCGCAAATTTGGAACTTTACACCAGCCCCTTAGTTTTACCTTTTGGGCCTGGTCTGGTGAGAGTAATTTTGAGATTACCCTGTTTTTTTTTTTTGAAGGAGTATGGTTTTGTGCCGAAAAATTAACAGCAGTGCAATGTGCCACCAGCAGCAGTGATACTCGAAACAGGTAAGTTTTTTAACAAAATAATAAATAGATAAATTGAACTTTATTGATCTCACAATGGAGGAATGAACTCTCTGCATTTAACCCATCTCCTTTGGGGAGCAGTGGGCTGCCACTGTGCAGCACCCGGGGAGCAATCAGGGTTAAGGGGCTTACTCAGAGACCCAGAGTGGCAGTCTGTGGGAGTGGGTTTTGAACTTACAACCTCAGGATTGTGAGGGTACTAAAAGTAAGGATATTAAAAGAAAAGATACCCAAAATGTATGGTAAATGGTAAATGGCCTGTACTTAAATAGAGATTTTTCAACTCAGGAGACTTGACCAAAGCACTTTACACTCAGTCATTCACCCATCCACGCACACACTTACACACTGATGATGGCAAACTTTATTGTAGCCACAGCTGCCCTGGGGCTCACTGACAGAATTAATGCCCCAATACATGCAGTTTAAAAGACAAGACATATAACTGGATTTGATATTTGCTATTAGCGAATATATATATTGACCTGTGCACACAGGCACACTGATATGCATTGATTCATGTCAACAAAATTACCCCGTTCTGATGTGAAATGAGCATGGCTTTGCTGCAAAGATTTTAGAACAGATAAAAAAAAAATGTGGCTAAAATTGAAGCTGAGAACATTGATACTATGATGCATAAAAAAAATATATACTCTCTATAAGCGTTATACTGTGCTATAAAAATCTAAATGTTTTCTGTTGATTTTTAGTAGTTTGAGCTCTAGTTGCACTTGTATCACCGTTTATTACTTTCTGCCCTTGATGCTGAAATTTTTAAACTGACATTGGCTTACAAAAGAGGATTCATTTGACTCCTCTAAGGCCCAGGGGTGGACAGGGCTTCCCAGCTGATGCTGAGAGGTTTGGCAAAAGGCAGTGTGGGTACAGCTTAATTTTAAAGAAATAAACAATTTATGCAGTTCATGTGAGTCACTTGGGCATCTGTCTTGCTAAAAGTGCCATACTGAAATAAGACACCCCCCTGGCCCAAACCTTATTTTTTAAAGAGCCTCTCTCTGTGTGCAGAGGCAAACAGAGAGAGCCAAAAAGAAAAAAGAAGCGTAGAGGATGAGCATTTACAAAAGACTGATCTGATAAAAATGTATTTGTTTGTAATGAGTTAAATAAGAGGGCTACTTGCAGCGAGGAGGTTCTGGGTTCGATTCCCGGCCGGGGTCTTTCTTCATGAGGTTTGCATGTTCTCCCTGAGCATGCATGGGTTCTCTCCGGGTACTCCGGCTTCCTCCCACAGTCCAAAAAAAAAAAAACATGACTGTTATGTTAACTGGCTTCTCTAAATTGTCCTTAGGTGTGAGTGTGTGCGTGAATGGTTGTTTGTCTATGTGTTGCGATGGACCATCGATTGTCCAGGGTGTACCCTGGACAATCTCGCCCATTGACAGCTGGAGATATCTGGTGACCCCACTTAAGGATTAGGCGTGTAAAGAAAATGGATGGATGGATGCATGGATGGAGTTAAATAAGACATAAACACCAGTGGTCAAAGTGCTACCTTATACAAAACAAGTTTTAGGAATATTCAACACAAAAATTTTAAGAATTAAGTTTCTCTGAACCTTTCCATTCCTTCATTATTTGACATTCATTTAACCACATGAAATGTTTGCTTTTACTATTTTTATCAATGGACTTCTCTCCATAGCCTATGTGTTCATGGCTTATTTCTAGAGTATACTGCAAATTACATTTTATGTCAGTCATATGATCCACATACACACACATACCAAAACGTTTTTGACTTACAAAAAAGCTGTTTTTTTTTTTGTAGTTTGGATGATGTTTCTTAAACAATCCGGACTCAATGCATAGTAGTGGTGCATTTGTTTATTGTGATGTAATGTGATATCCAGTCCAGGTATATATATTACTCTTGTAAAAATCTGGTTTCCACCTATTTAGATAATTAATAGTAAGGGGCTACAATTGACATCTGATTAATGTGCTTGCTCCCCCCCTTCCCTTTCTCAGTTGAATAACTTGCCAAGTCGTGCTTTTTTTCTTAGTCTTGAATCACTTCTCAGACTGTTGTTCCAAACACAATACAGGCTCATTCGTTACATGTTTTTCAAAGTTGGTTTGCGATCCTTTGAGATCTCAAAGCATGGCAAAGTGCTTCCACGTGCAGTGGCTTTTCTTTTCCATTCCTCACCCGCCCGTTTTCTTCACACACTACTTCCCTGCGACATTTGGGACGGGCTTCTCACTGCTTGGCTTCTCACATCTTGGACAGTGACACAAAATAAATGAAGACACACAGAAGACACAAGGTTCAGAGTTGGAAGGACTTGGTGGCTGAGGTGTGAAACTACTGGAGTGTAAAATTGGCCTGGCAGCCGTGCTGTTGTTTCAGCATTTCATACCCAGCCGCTCTGCTTGACTTTCCTTGCATTGTTCAGCACCACCTTCCCTATATACATTTTTTCAATTCATTTCCCATCTGTACCTTACTCTTGTTGAGTTTGACCTCAGGTCTTTAGAAGCCATAGCGCTTTTGAAATATCATGTTATCTGGTAAATATCTTAGCACTTTACTAAAAATCACCATAATGGGAGAGAGCAGAAGGTTCGATAGGCTGATATTCACATATTAATGTGTCCAATGATGTCCAACTGTTCTCCAGCAGTTCTCACTTTTACCAATTAGTCAAAGACTGGATAATTATTGGAGCGGTGAAAGAGATCCTTGCTGGTGGATGGAAGAGCCCAAGTGGTGCTTCCTCCTGGTGGCAGCAGGAGGCCAAAGCCAGGCTATGGAGAGAGGACAGATGTAGCACAGAGGATATTACACCACATTCAACAGTCAAAGTGACGCCCAGGGTTGGTTATTAAAGGCATAAGGCGAACACAGTGGATATTCTGAGTAGCAGCCAGAGCAAAGGGACATCAAACACCCTGTTATTTTGGTTCATTAAGTGGCTTTGTTTCACTAATTAGCTTTCTTATGAGAAATGTTGGCCCAAAGCTAGTAATTGTCGACAAACTCGACATGGTTGTGACTGTAGATTTTGCGCCTGGTATGTAAGGAATCCAAACATAATTAATTAGAAACCAGCATGTTAGTGTCTGATGATGAAAAAAACAGAACAAGAATGAGAGCAAAGTTGCAATATGTGCCGTTCTATTATCTATATTTGATGATCATGTTTACTCATATTAGTTTCACATTTTCTGTTCTTTCTTTGAACAGCACCAGAACAGATGGCTGCCTTGCTTCCGTGCTTTCCTCCCTTGAGTGACTTATTCTCCATTCATGAAGCTAATGATAGACTAGAGATGTTTCTCTGAAGTCCAACTACTGACATTTTCTGCAACGTTGTTTGGGGTCTGAAAGTGGGAGGATTCCTACCTGGGAGTTTACACAGTAAAGGAAGGCTGTTTGGCATGAATAAGGAGAAACAAAGTTACTTAAGCACGTCCTTCCAGTAGGCTTTATCTGCTGTTGGTCTGCCCCTGCATTAAGGCAAGGTTATTCAGATGAAAGATGGCATTGAGATTAGTGAACCCTGCCTGAGCGTGTGGACGTGCGGCGTGCTGTGTCCTGTGATTTATGAGAGTCGTGATATCAGAAGTCGCCACATGAATAAACCATGTAGGCAGAATTAAGCTTCTGTTAAATGACGCACAGCATTGTCTTAGGTGTTTTAATAACCATACAGGAATTGAAAGTCATGGATGTGGGCTGATGCTGAAGAGCAGCCAGTTTTTAAATAGTTCTTGTTTTTCATGTCCATGAACTTGTTCATGACTTCGACACTCTAAGTGTATTTTCCTTATTTTTATGAAAATGGTATATGCTCAAACTATTGCAGTATCATATAAGCCCACATTAAAATCATAGTTTTATAAAATTTGCTAAAAGTTTTAGCTCAAACCAAGAAAGCTTAATTCTACTTAATGATCATTATTTGTTTATCCTCAAAATTTTTTTGTTTTTTAGGTTATTCTCAGAAACATTTGTCAGCCTAAAGTTTCTCCCTTAGTGATAAGACGAGGAGCTCGGTCATCTGGGAGAGGCTCAGAGTAGAGTTGCTTCTCCACATCGAGAGGAGTCAGCTGAGAAGGCTTGGACATCTCTTAAAGATGCCCTCTGGATTCCTCCCTCAGGTGGTGTTCCAGGCAGTTCCTACTGGGAAAAGGCCCGTGGGACGGCCCAAAACATGCTGTCTAACTATGTCTCTTGAATGGCCTGGGAGCGCCTTCTGCTTCCCTGAATCAGAGCTGTAGGAGGTGTCTGGGGAGAGGGAGGTCTGGGAGTCTCTGCTGAGACTACTGCTCCTGGTCCTGCTAAGAGGAAGACATAAGTACAAGCATGAGTGAAATAATTATATCTATGTTTGATTGAATTTATTTGAGAAATTATATTTAATTATTTAATGTAATAAAATATTTAATATAATTTAAAATTGTTTATTTGATTATTTAAGGGCTGGACCTGAGCTATGTAATTGATTAAATTAATTAAAACTTTTTGGCTGCTTGCACATACTCATAGATTATGTTTAGAACATTTATCCCCTGATGAACATGTGTGTGGAAAGATCATTAAATAACTACATAAAGTTAGAAAGTAATGAAGCAGCAAAGCTAACTGCATCTCTCTCAGTCAAGTCTTTTCTTATTTAGACCCTTGTAAAACATGGTTTTTAAAAATGTTATCCCATTTCCATTAGACTTATTGATATATATTTTTTTATTTTCAAGGTGCTGAATTTTGTGTTTTAATCTAATGTAGATAGTCACTAACAGAATATTGAAATATGAATTTTAACTACAATTCTCTTGAAATAGGTGTATTTGCACTTTATTAGAGTAGGTAAATGAAATAATCTGTCAAATAAATAAAATCTTTGTAAGAAAAACAAAATTATTTTATTTCAGCAGAACAAGTTCCTCTGTTACTACTAAATTTTGAAAATATACTATATGTGTAGTGTAGATCAAATTTAGATGACAAC